CTTCCTATCCATGAGCATGGGATGTTTTTCCATTTATTTAGGTCTTTTATAGTTTCTTGAAGTAGCTTTTTATAGTTTTCTTTGTAGAGGTCTTTCTCAGAATATATCTTGAAATATTCTTTGTGACGAATGTTCATTCATCTTCAATTTGTCAATCTCAGCATAGTAGATCATATGGTCATCTGATTCAAAATGGCCAAAACCAGTCCTTTACAGCTCACTGATGCCTAGGATGTTGATCTTTATGCACTACATTTCATTTTTGACAACTTCCAATTTTCCTAGGTTCGTACCTCTTACATTCCATGTTCCAATTATTAATGGACGTTTGCAGCTGTTTCTTCCCATTTTAAGTCGTGCCACATCAGCAAATGGAGGTCCTGAGAGCTTTATGCCATCCACGTCATTAAGGGCGGCTCTACTCTGAGGAGGCAACTCTTCCCCAGTTGTATTTTGAGTGCCTTATGACCCGAGGGGCTCATCTTCCAGCACTATATTGGACAATGTTTCAGGGAATATTCATAAAATTTTCCAGTAATAAATCAGAAAGTGTTTCACTGCTATTCATAAGGTTTTTACTGGCCATTTTTTTCAGAAGTGGATGGACTCTTCCTTCTTCCGAGCGGTGGCCATGTTACATATTATTATGTAAGCAAATCTGCAAAACTTTATTAACAAGGGTTGCTTCCTGACAGCTGGGGATTTTTCAAAGTCAAAATATTTCATTTCATATGGCAAGCCCCACTGGCGCAGTGGATGAGCACCTGGCCGCTAACCAAAAAGTCAGCAGTTAAAACCCACCAGCAGCTCTGTGGGAGCAAAGATCTGGCAATCTGCCTTCATGGAGATTACAGCCTTGGAAAACCCAGGGGCAGTTCTATCCTGTCCTACAGGCTCAGTCACTATGAGTCAGAATTAACTCAACAACAGTGGTTTTAGTTTTGTTTTCTCCACTTGATATACAATTTCCCAGAAGCAAATGCGAGTTTTATTTGTCATCATTTCATGTAGGACTCCCAGAACCAAATTTCAAAAAACATTATTAAAAATCCTAGATAGAGCAATAACCACAGCCCCAAAGACTCTAAAACAACAGTCCATAAGAGCCAATAGTTCCCCTCTTATAAATAATTTCATATCAGCATTCACTGGAGAAAGCTTTATCAGTAAAGCTGAAAATCATCCTATTTGATTTCTAACACTGCTTCACAACAGCCACCTACAGGCAGGGTCAGTACTTACTTGAAAAGAGAATTTTTTGGCCTTTGAGGTTTCTTCTTGGCAAAGAAAGCTGCAAATTCGCGTCCAGTGCTGGCATAACTTAATTGAGCTGATGGTTCAGAGGCCGTACGAGTATTTTTCATGTCCAAGTACTCAGTCAACAGCATCTGTGCAATCAAATACACAGTTTAATGTACACAATTGTCATGTACCCTTCAGAAAAAAAAATTCAAAACCATCAAAATCTAATTCTAAAACCTCATCTTTGACATCCAGAAATACAATAGCATGGCCATTTGTTTTTCTAGTTGAAGGTCTAAGGAAAGATTTGCTATTGTTGTTACCTATTCCTAAAACTAAGAACAGGGTGTGATGGCATTTGCACATGGAGGTAAAAGGATGATTTTATTGAGTGTTATGTGGCAGGCACTGTGCTAAGTTAACAAATATTATCATAACTTAACCTCAAGGAGGAGTCGCTATGAGTTGGATCCAACTCGACACCAGTGAGTTTGGTTTTTTATTTTTGTATTTGGTATTCCAAATTACAGCAGCATCAGCAGCAAAGTCGTAATATTTCCTGAGTGCTTTCTCTGCTCTGAGCAAGATGCTAATGCATTGAGATGCACCACCGCATTTAAAGCACAGGATTTTATCAGGTAGGTTATCAGATTACAGATCAGGAAATGGAAACTCAGAACGGTTTAGGAGCTGAAAAGCGAAGCTTGGGGGACTAATGCTGGAGCCCATGCTCTTGCCCCTCACTCTAACATAACATGGCGGGTCACCATTCTAACCCGTTTTCGAGAAGGACTGTAGGTCATCAGAAGCTGAGCAGTCCTGACAGACAGAGAATTTCTAGGGCCACTACTCAACCGGAATGTTTCACAGCAAGAAAGTAACTATTTTTTATTCTACTATGACTCGTCGGTTCTGCTTTCAAAATCAGACCATTCTAGAGCCATCTGAAGACTGGAATCATCTTTTCCAGTATTTCTATGGACTGTATTATAAAACATTACTATTGTTTGAAAGAAAATAGCAGATCCAAACAGAAATTACCACAGCTCTGATACATATCTAATCTAAGCATAACAACTCATTTCTATAACCACTCACCACATTCAAAATTTCAACTTATTTAAGGACACACAGACAAGCAATGTTACCCATGACTGAAGGAAAAGCTCTTCAGAGACTCAGAGTCCCAATAAGCATTCATTCCTGCATGTGTCTGCATGCATGCATCCATTCACTAAAGGTATGGAGACCATATTAAGCAGTATCATCAAATAATCCTTTCACGAAGCACCCTGTGAACATGCTGCTGCCCCAAGTAAGGTTCAAAGCAGTATGTCTGTCATATAAGCACATACACATGACTGCATGCTTACCAAATACCAGAAATTTGAGAGACATGATCCCACTTGATCCTCAAATCAAATCTAGAAAGTAAAAGTCACTACAGACATTTTAGAGGTGAAGAAACAGAATTAGTGGTATCAAAACACTAGCCTAATTACAGAATAACAAGCCAAGATTTCAACAGAGCTTTAGTTGATTCCAAAGCCTATGCTCTTAATCGTGACATTTCATGGCCACTAAGAGCATACAAACTGGCAATAAGAGTGGGTCTATGGATGGCACTAAATGGATCTTATTTATTTCACCTTCTCTACAATAAAGACCGCACTGGGAAAGCATAAAGCATGTTAACTGACTAGTCAATGCTTTCTTTTATTCATTTACAAGCCCACAGGAGTATTATTCAGCATGCTGATGAAGTAACACTGACAAATGCTATCTCTGTTAATACATCACCCAAACTGCCCGATAGTTATGCAGAATATTGAGCTCAGTCTTTCCTTTAGTAACAATTCAAATGAGGGACCCAATTATATTGCAGATTCGGCGCTACTGCCAATGACGTGATTTTCAGCAATCTGTGATCAACACCCACCCAAAGCAAACTCACTGCCATGGAGTAAATTTCAACTCATAGCAACCCCCATGGGGTTTCCAAGGCAGAAATCTTTATGGAAGTAGACTGCTTCACCTTTCTTCCACAGAGCAGCTGGTGGGTTTGAACCACCCATCTTCTGGTTAGCAGTCAAATTTGCCTTAGGTACTGCACCACAAGAGCTCCCTCTGTGATCAAAAGAAGGCTGATAAACCAAAACAGAACATGAAATTGATACACATAAAAAGATGCTTACAAATACACTGCATCCCTCGTGTGTTGGTTTAAACACCAGCAGGAAGAGAAGGATATCTACACCAAATCACAAAGCCACACAAACCAAAGTTTCCTCTGAGATGCCTATCGTCCTAGAATTCAAGGACCAGCTTTGTACAGGAAAATCAACCTTTTCCAGCACCGACAGGAATGAAAAGGATGCACCCTTAGAGGGGACCCCAAGGAGGACCTAATCAACTCAAAGACTCAGGTCATAATGTTAATCATCTCCAAGTTTCAATCACAGCACTGATGGTATGAACAACCCAGCTCAGAGGACAGCAATCGGTGTTCCATGCCTGATTCAGTTCTGTGGCAACTACGTGGTTCACACACTAACACAGTCATCATGGTTAAGATACAGACTGATGAAATGAGCTCACGAGTATAGTATTTTCATATAGAAACACTAGTTACATAATGTTTCACTTATTTTAAAAATTTCCACTACAAAGAAACCTACACAGGACCTTAATTAATGACTATATTTACTTTCTTTTGAGTAAATTAAATTGTGCTTGCATTATAGCCTTCGCACATAAATCATACATTTAACTTTATGAGTCCCACAATCTATCACCTACATTCCTAAAAGTACAACAATAGGGAGACTGGAACAATTTAACAGTATTCTAAAAATTAGGACAGTGACTTAAAATTACTCAAAACTATAAGTTTTCCCCAAGAAGTTAACAGAAGCAAATGGAATGGTAGCAAAAAGAATAAAAAGAAAGTTGAGTTACTTTTCAAGATAGCACTCTAATTTTCCTCTTTGCATAAGCTAAAATATTCTGCAGTAAGAAAGCCAAAAGAAAAATAAACAGTCATTCTAAAAGCGGAATGGCTGCCTGCTTAATTACAGTCATTATCAATGGTAAGGACACAGTGAAAGCCACCATTAGGATGTTGTTGTGAACAGGCCCTTACTTTAGTATATGGAGTAAAACAAACAAACCAAAAACTTCCAAGAGTATCAAACATCCAAGCAATAAACCTGGGCTCAAGAGCTCATGCTTACTTTTATTATATTTTTCCCCATTTGATCCAATAAAAGAATTCTCAACAACATGAAAGTTTAAGTAGCTTCTAGAAGAGTATTTTTATTTTAAATTAAACGTGTATTTAATGAACACATAAAATATACAAAGTTTTGGGCTAAGTATAAAAATAAGACACAAAAATAAATCCTATCCTTAATATGCTTGTCTAGTAATGGACATGGATGACTACAGTACACGGGAGAAAGTGGTAAGCTAGTAAGTCAAGTTGATTTGACTCATAGTGACCCCTCCTTGGGTTTCTGAGGCGATATCTCTACAGAAGTAGATTGCCCAATCTTGCTTCCAAGAAGTAGCTGGTGGGTTTGTTTGAATCACCAGTCTCCTGGTTAGCAGTCAAATGCCTTCGGCACTATGCCACCAGAGCCCCCTAGTAAGCATCAGGCCAAAGACACTGCAATGAGCAGTTATAGGCAGACAAGACTGTTCCTAACTAGAACAATGAACACAAGTTTTCAAGATAATGGCACAAAAGAAGTATATAAACAAAATCTAAAATGTGCAGGCAGTGTAAAAATGACAGAAGGAAAAGAATAAGGAAAATTCAGGGTCTCCTTGGTGATTATCTGGTGGTGTAGTGCCTAAGGCATTTCACTGCTAACTCCTTGGAAGAAGACTGGGCAATCTACTTGCATAGAGATACCACCTCAGAAACCCAAGGTCACTATGAGTCAGAACCAAGTCAATGGCAGTGAGTTTGGTGGTTTTTTTTTTTTTTTTGGTTTAGTAACTATCAGGAATCTTGGTGGAGACTCCTGAAACGGTTAAGACTCCACAGAAATGGTTAAGCACCTGGCTGCTGACCAATAGGTCAGCAGTTTGAACCCACCAGGCATTCTGCGGGAGAAAGATATGACAGCCTGCTTCTGTAAAGATTTACAGTCTTCGAAATTGTATGGGGCAGCTTCAGTCTGTCTTAGAGGGTCACAAAACATGTGAATCAACTCAACAGCCACAGGTTTTTAGTGAGTTATCAAGTTGTTATTGTTGTTATTTGCCGAAGAACAACCTGGAAGGTCAACCTGGAAAGACGGTGCACAGATGAACCTCTAAGGACCCAGAATATGAGTTTCTGTGATGAAGGACAAAATGCAGAGGCAATAAAAAATTTTGAATAAGGAAATAAAATGGTAGTAAATATACTTTAAGTAAATTAATCTGTATAAAATAATAGATTGGAAAGCCAATTGGATTGGGGGCAAAAGCAACATTCGAGAAAAGTCTATAAAGGGGAGGTGATGAGGAGGGAAAGCCTACCAAGATAGACCAAAATAATAACAAAAAGAGATTTTAAACTGAAGTAGTGACAATAAGACTGTACAATTAGCGATGAACTCAAGAATCAGTGCAGAGGACGGACGGACAGACAGACAGACAAACAAATAACAGAATGTACCCACTTACTCTGCAAAGGAATGGAAAGGAGAAATAAAAATGGCTAAAAGATTTCACACCTGAGTGACTTCTGAAAAAACAGGATTCCGTGCACAATAGTGAGGGAGACCCAAAGGGCTGTTAGGGTTGGACAACAAACAGGGTCTAGTACAGTGTCCTCCCAGTGAAGCCTGTGAATATTCAGGGGTGGCTTTAACGAACAGATTGATGTTCTCATCACCTAGGAGACTGGACGTCCAACTTCAGGGTGCTGGCTCCAGGCAAGCCTTTCTTTCTCTGTGGACTCTGAGAGAATGTTCTGGTCTCTTTAGTTTCTCTCCTTGGAGCTTTCCATGTGGCTTGGCATCAATCTTCCCCTATCTGCTTCTTTTGCTTGCTCTTTTAATCTTTTTTGTGTCTCAAAAGAGACTGACTTGAGACACCCTACACTTATCTTGTCTCATTAACATAACAAAGATAACTCATTCCCAAACAGGAT